TTTTCCAACCTTTGATTTTTACTTTATTTTTGTCTTTGTCTCTAAGGTGTGTCTCTTGTAGACAACATATTGATGGGCTATGTTTTCTTATCCACTCTGCAACTCTGCGTCTCTTGAGTTGTGCATTTTTTAATCCATTGATACTCAGTGTAATTATCGACAAGTATGAATTGATTGCTGTCATTTTGTTATTTTTTTTTTTTTCCATAGTCTTCCTGCTTTCTTTGTTCCATATAATTTTCTGTGCTGAGCTCATTATGCTTATGAATTGTGTCACTGTTTCCTTTTTTGCTGTTGTTTTAGTATTTGCTAAATATTAGTGCTCCTTTTTTATTGTGATGTGAAGGTTTATCATTTTTCTTCGAGGTTACCCTGTGATTTATAATTTTCTCCCCGAGATTAGGACAGTCCATTCTATCTTACAACTCTCTTGACTTCCTCACCATTTAGAAGTTCTTTAACTACATTATTTTTACTCTCTATTTATAGTTTATAGTCCTCATTTGCCAATTGATGTCTCTGGTTCCCTATTTACAACCTTGTAAGCTTATTTTACTTTGGATACTTCCATACCTGTGCTGGTTTCAGGGTTATGTCATCTTGTGTATTAATGGTTGGTTGTTGTTTATAATTATTGGTACTCTATTCACCAGACTCCTTTTAGTATCTCTTGTAAGCTTGGTCTGGTTTTAACAAATTCCCTTAATTTCTGCTTATTTGGAAATCTCCTAATTTCACCATCATATTTGAGGGACAATTTTGCTGGATATATATAATTCTTGGTTGGAAATTTTTCTCTTTCAGAATTTTATATATACCATCCCATTGCCTTCTCGCCTACATGGATTCTGCTGATAAATCTGAGCTTATTATTATCAGTTGCTGTTTGTATGTAACTTCCGTTTTTCCCATGCTGCTTTCAGGAGTCTTTGTCTTTGGTTTTTTGTGAGTTTGATGATGATATGTCTTGGTGATTTTATTTTGGGACTCTATCTTGTTGGGGTTCATTGGACTTCCTGAATGGATATATTCTCATCTTTCATCTATCAGGGAAGTTCTTTTCCAACAGATTTTGGGCAATTTTCTCATTGGTTTTCTTTTTCTCTTCCTGTTTGAAATTCTGATTACACGTAGGTTATTCCTTTTGATGGTATCCCACTTGATCCTTAGGCTTTCTTCATTTTGTTTTGATCTTTATTTCTAATTGATCGCTTTCCAAAGAAGTATTGAGGTATTTGTCTTCAATCTCATTAATTCTGTCTTCCATTGATACGGTTCTGCTCCTTTGCCCTTTCAGTGTCTTATCTGTCTCTGACAATTTAGTGTTAATCTTGTGGATTACTCTCTGTAGATTTTGTGTCATTTCTAATTTTTCGTTTATTTTGTCATTTTGTTCTAGTATTTTCTCCGAAATTTTTCTAGGGTTTTGTCTGTATTTTTCTTACATTTATCAGTGTTTGTCTGATCTGTCTCTCAGTCCTTTGAAGAAACCTTAGTATAATTCTTTGGAATTCCTTATCAGGGAGTTCCAGTGCTGCTTCTTCCTCAGGGATGTGTTCTGGGTCTGCATCCTGGTGCCTTTCTTCTCTTGCTTTATCTTACTTCTTTGTGTGGACTGTGATGGTCTTTTGTCTCTGAGACACTGTGATGTTGTTGTATTTTGACCTCTGTTAACTGATTGTGGAGTGCAGTTAAAGATGAGTCAGGCTCTTCTTGGTGGTTGTTTATCATTGGCCATTTCTTAGAGAAGGATGTGCTGGCTCTTACTCCATAAGTGGAGCTGTGGGAGGTATATGTGGTTGTGTCATATGGGCATGGTTGCTATCTCCCACTCAGACAGAAACAACAATCAAAAATCCATCGAAAAAGTATAAGCAAGTGGACAAAAGATATACCGCATAAGCAGAAAAGAACAATCACCAACTAAAGAAAAGAAAAGGAAAAAAAAAAAAAAAACCATGTAATATCTGGGGATGAGGCAATATGAGAGAAGAGGGTAGAGTAGGAGAATAATGAAGAAAAAAAAATGGAAAAATGCAAAAAGAAGAACAAGGAATGAGTTTAACCACAAGAAAAAAATTGGGATTCAGGAATAGGGAAGAGAGTAAAAGCTGAAAACTAGTACCTGGGAAGGGAAGAATAAAGAATAATAAAAGGGACAAAGGAAGAAAAGAAAGAGTAATAGAAATAATAGGAGCTCTGGTAGCATAGTGGCTAAAGCACTTGACTGCTAACCAGAAGGCTGGCGGTTCAAACCCACCAGCCACTCCTTGGAAGGAAGGTTGGGCAATCCTACTTCCGTAGTGATACTGCCTCGGAAACCCAGGGAGGGGTCGCTATGAGTCGGCGCCGACTCGACGGCACATAACAACAACAATAGAAATAATAATAATTTTAAAACAGACAAAAACAAACAAACTAAAAGAAAAAAAAAAAACCTGGGCTGGGAAGGGCACCCAGGCTCTGTCAGAGCACACAGACTGGGATGGAATTCCTGCTGGCCCAGAAGGTGGGTGGGAGTGAGGGATGGCTGCACCTCCCTTCACCAAGAAGGTGTGGGGTATAAGAGTGACAAGGGAAATATCATGCCTTTCCAGTCGTTCATGTCCAGAATATCCTGTGCTTTCTGGCAAGTGGAGCCTATTCTTAGGTCCCTGGAATCTGAGAGAATGCTATAACTTGAAATATCCAAAATTAGTTGAACCACTTGTAAATAGTCAAAATGGTTAGCCCTGTGGACAGGCAAAAGTCCACAGCTATGCCCGTCTCCTTTGCTGCTTCCCCTTTTTTCATCAGCTACCAGTGCAGTCCTCCGTGAAGCCCCTGCCTAGCAGGGCTGATTTTTAGGTTAATTCTTAGGTCCTTACACCACTTGGCACTATCCAAGCTGTCCATGCTGTCAGGATTACTGACAGACCGCAGCTCTGTATGTCTCCTTTTTTGGTGTTTTCATAAAGGTTCTTCTACTAGTTGGAGCTTAGTCTACTTCTGTATCCTTCCTTTCAAAGCTCAGGTCTACAGGATTATCTTCTGTATCTGTGTTAATTGGTTCTCCTTTTCTTTGTTGAAGAGGGTCTGTGTAGTTTGTCTCTCTCTTCTGCCATCTTACCAGAACCTCTTCACTATACTTCTTGAATGTGTAAGCTTATGTTCTTACCAGATTTGAAACATTTTCAGCCATTTCTTAGATTACTTTTTCAGCCCCACCTTTTTCTTCTCCTTCCAAGACTCAGATGACACAAATTTTAGACCTTATTTTCCAGTTCCACAGATCCCTAGCATACTTCCCCCCTTTTTCAGTCTGTCTTTTCTGTGTTGTTCAGATTGGATCATTTCTATTTTTGTGTCCTCTACTTCACTGATTCTTGCCTTTGTCCTCCTCTTTGTATTGTTGAGTCCATCTACTTTTTCTCTCAGTTATTGAAGTTTTTAGCTTTAAAACTTCTATTTAGTTCTTTATGTCTTCTCTTTTTTTTTTTCCCTCTGTGACTTTCTTTTTCTTTGTTGATGCTGTCTTTTTTCCCATTAGTTTCAAGCATTTATCTAATTGTTTGTTAAAGTATTTTTATGATGGCTCCTTATACAGTTTTTGTTAGATAATTCTAACATTTTTGTCCTCTCAGTGTTGTTATCTATTACATTTTTTGGTATGATGTAATTTTCTTCTCTTGAAAAGTAGACATGTTCACATAATAGTATAGAATTTAGATCTGGTTTAAATCTTCTTTCAGGTGGTTTTCTTGATACCACTTCATCAGGGGAAGAAGAAAGGCATTGTCTCATTACTTCTGGGTGGAGGTAGAAGTCTAACTTGTCTTCTGCAGCAGCTGTTGTCATCTGAGGAAGGAGGCCCTTATTACTGCTGGGCAGGGATCATTCCAGCTCCATACTTGGTCTCCAACAACACCATGATGGAGTTGTCCTCATTATCACTAGGCAATGGTGATAGTAAACCTTATGACACCACACTATCTGGGATATGGAGAGATGCCTCATTAGTGCTGTGTAGTGGGGGAATCCAGGTACCCCATGTGGTCCCCATTGCTTCAGTGGTAGGGGTGGACAACAGGGCTCATTACTAATTGGCAGGGATGAAAGTCCTGGTTTTTTATTTTATAGGGCCTTCTCTGACACCACCCTGGCAAGGCTATTGGATTCCTTATAGCCTTACAGTCTTGGACATCTAGTCTCCCTCTTCAGCCTTTGCTGATGTAGGTAGGGATAGGGCCATCATTTTCTGTCATGTTTGGCTAGACTGCAGTGGTTATTTAATAGTTCTCTGTTTTGCCAGACTGCTTCTTCCATGGTCCTTTGGCCGTCTTTTTTTGTTTGTTTGTACCAGCTGGTATTTCTGGGTTCCTAGCTTCTTCACTACCATGTTTGAGATATGTTGTTGTTGTTGTTGTTGTTATGTGCCGTCAAGTCAAACCCGACTCATAGCGACCCCTCCTTGGGTTTCCGAGGCAGTATCACTACAGAAGTAGGATTGCCCATCCTTCCTTCCAAGGAGCGGCTGGTGGGTTTGAACCACCAGCCATCTGGTTAGCAGGCAAGTGTCTTAGCCACTATGCTACCAGAACTCCCATATGAGGCAAAAAGAAAATACAGGGAACTCAACGCTATGATACCCATCAGATCAGAGTCCCTAGTTGGTCTAACTTATTCTGTCAAACTTTCTGAGTCGTCTTATGTTTGTTTTATATAAACTTACCATAGCTTTTAGTGGTAGGAATAGAGAAAAGTATGTGTACTACCACTTCCTGAAAGCAAGAGTTCTCTGAGTTAGTTTTAATAGATCATCACAGATCAAGAATATATATAATATTGTTCCTTGTCTAGGAAAATTTTCTTTTATATGATATTGTGCAAAAATAATATACTTCATGGCTACATTAATTTAAAATATCTAAATATATCCTAAAGGGCAAAAGAGGAAAGTAAATTACCTATATGTAAGAAAGCAAACATTTTTAAAATTTAACTCTGCTTTCTGTGCCTAGGTTGGTGCAAACACTATGGACAATCCTTTGCTGAAGTACAGTGCAAAGGATTACTTCTTTAAAGCAGCCCTCTGTCACTTCATAGTGGATGAGTTAAATGCAAAGGTAAGGAGTTCTTTGGGGCTAGTTTTCTGATACACTTCACCCACGAGAATGGGCCTCGAATGCTCTGTCATTCTTGTAATTATTTTGTTTGGGTATTAGTAGCAAGACTAAACTAACCATAAAAAACAAACACCATCATTGAGTCAGATCTGACTCATTTATATGATACGTTTGTTAGCTGTAATATTGTAATGAATGGGTGCTGAAACTGTGCCCATAAAGTTCCCTTGTAGCCAGGTTTCCTTTGGAAATTTTACTTTAAAGAAATTAGGGTGCTCATGAGGAAACCATGAGTAGACTAACATCCCTTTTTTTTTTTAATTGTGATTTGGGTGAAAATTTATAACGCAAATTCACTTTCCGTACAACAGATCACATACACTTTGTCTCATGACATTGACTACAGTTTACCACAATGCAACAGCTCCCCTCCCACTTCCTCCCTGCTTGAACAATTTCTCTTAGAAAGATCAGCACGAGGCCAGTCCCCATGAGGCGGAGGTCAAAGATGTCCCAAATGTCCAAACTACCATGCCACTCCATCATTTCAGACGTTAACTCCTCCTCCTCCTCCCAGTAATTTCCCCAGTCTTAAGGTTCTGTAATTTGCTGTAACGCGTCACAGAACTCACAGACACCCAAGGGTTCATCTCACGTAGTAGTCATGGAGGCTGGCAGGCTGGCGTGTCCCGGGTCCGTGAGTAGGTCTAGCGGATCCTCCCACCTCTCGGGGTTTGATGAACCTCGATCAGCAGATCAGATGACGGCTGCTGTCCCAAATCCAGGGGTGAGATGAGGATGATCCAAGACACAAAGCCAGAGCAAGAGGAGAGCGAATCTTCCCAGGAGATTCATAGGTATACCCTCAGGGAAGCTAAGGGTGG